CACAAGTCGTTTTTACCATACACATTAACTCTTCGCCTTGTATAATTTTTTCTCGCTGGTTTGTGTAATTCGTTCGCTATATCACGTTTAGACATTTGGAATTCGTTTTATTAAACCCGTTTCATACAATTCTTCGTAAATTGAAAGTATTTCGTTGGAAAGCCCTGTATTACCAGCAGCTTGCGAGGCTAAAAGAAGTCGTAACCTGTCAACCAGCTCGTTCGGATCATTCCAATATACTAGATTATGCGTTTGTAATTTCACACCTGAGCCTGTGGTGAATAGCTTGCTAATAATTTGTTCATACTTTGTACCACCTTTCCTAATTTTTGTTCCGTCCTGTGTTAAATGTGCCGAAGTTTGAATCAGTATGTCTTTATATGTAATTAAATCATTAGCTGTGTATTGCATTGGATATCTGGAAAACAATAACTCGCCAAGCCCTTGTGTTATCGGATAAGAGTTTTCTCTCACAATTATTGTACCGTTTCTAAAATGTATTACTTCTGTACCTAATTTGATAATGCCTTGAGAATTTTTTTTCGGGCCATATACTTTATCTTTTTCCTGGTCTTCTAATTTACGTAAATTTGTGAACCGATCGTCAGACGTGTTGGAAACCATACCCTCGTCAACTTTGACAGTTTGTAATTTGTTTAGAGGTTCGATTATTGGCTGAAATGTTTGTGATACAAAAGATTGAATATCAGCTTTTCCATTTTTTAATGCAGTATACTTGCGTTTAATATTTTCTTTAGCTTTAATCAATTCTCCGAGTACCTCACCTTTAGACGACATATTTGCGAATGAAGTGCATTATAAAAAAACCATAGTTTATATAACAACAAACGTATCGAATCCGTGGCGATATCGACCGTTATCGCGATCACTGTCTTTGTTTATGACGATAAATTCAAATCTCCCTTTACGCCAACATGAAGTACAAAATTCTTTAAACTCGGGATATGACATATCACCGGAGCAGTGTTCGTTGTAAACATGTTTTAAGTTTGTCTCATCTTGTTTAAATAAAACAATAAAATTTGCGTTATCACGTAGAAGTTGTTTAGGCACTTTTGAATAACTCTGAGCTAAATAGAACACATCTACTAAATTATGTCGACCTCTGGAAAAGTAGGTTCTTGCAATCTTTTGGTTTTCAGTTATAATATCATCGAAAATAAACACAGAGTTTGGTAAAGCTTTTTCAGGTTCAATAACTTGTTCGTTTTCGTAGAATGTAAATAATTGTATTCCGTTAATGTCTGATAAAATATCACTCAATAATTTATATTTTGGTTGATCCAATGTTTTTGAATATATGTAGACGTTGTGAAATCGTACACCGTTTATATGTGTTAATAATGTGAATATTAAATTAGTTTTCCCACAACCTGAAGGGCCCATGATAAGTGCTCTAATCGTATTAGGTAGAAGTACACCATGTCTTTGTTTTTTATACGAAGTAGGTGGATCCACGTTTTCAACTGTGAGTTGTATATCTTGTTTAACGAATTTCATTTTTAAATATCTCTGTAACACTGAGAACGTGATCAGTGTACGATGTCGCTCGCACGAAGAAGGACTACGAATGGTTCTGGTCTTATAAACACGCTTATAAATAAATTACCATTAGAGATTCACGTGCCTGGTGAGAATAAATACGCGTATATTAACGCAGTAATAGTAATAATAATAATATTTCTTATAGGTTATCAATATTGCGGGCCTGGAACAAATTTAAAAAAACGTTTAGCTCGAGGAGATAAAGGTGTAAATCCTTTAGACGCTGCGTGTAGGGAACACGATATTGCATACGACCGTAGTAACTCTATAACAGATCGAAACCAGGCTGACTATATATTAGAGCAGCGAGCCTGGGATAGGTTCAAGTCTAAAGATTCTAGTTTAAAAGAAAAAGCTGTGGCTTGGGGCGTAACTACCGCCATGAAAGTAAAACGTAAAATCGGGGCTGGATGCGGGTTTAAAGCAGCCATCAAAGCAGCTAAAAACACAATAAAGAAAAATATCGGCGAAAAAAATCTTATGAAATTAAGTAAGAAATGTGTAGCCGTCGCACGAAAAACATTCAAAAATAAAAAAACTAAAGTTCCAAGGATTATATCAATTCCGAAAAAGGGCGGGGTGTTACCGCTCATTCCGATTTTTGCCGGTTTGTCAGCACTAGGAGCACTGAGTGGTGGTGTTGCTAACGTTGTCAAGGTTGCTAACGAATTTAAAAGAAATACGCAATCTCATTTGGGCGGCGGGTTATATATCGCGCCGTATAAGGGCAACTCGTATAAAATCGGATCAGGTTTAAATCTCGCACCATATAAAAGTGGAGGGAGTGTAAAAACGAAGAAGACTATAAAAACTATAAAAAATAAAAAAAACTAATAGCTACGTTACCCCGTCGAGCCCTGTACGATTACGAGCTTATAAAAATGGCTCGTTTGATTAAAATACCTCACTTCGTCGGTGTGTTTACCCGAGATAGGTTGCCTGTACGTTGTAAACGAATAGAATCAGCGATTGTTAACTTGGATACAGAAAACGGTATAGGTACTCACTGGGTAGCGTATAAAAAAATCGGGAATAAAATTGAATATTATGACAGTTTCGGAAATTTGCCACCTCCATTAGAAGTACAAAAATATTTTCACGGATGCGACATCAATTTCAATTACAGCAGAGAGCAGAAATATAATACTACCAACTGTGGGCACTTGTGTTTAAAATTTTTATCATGTACACGTTAACATTAAACGGTACCTCAAGTGAATTGTCATGCGACATTTTTCCACCGCTAGAAGTAGAAAGCACATCACAAATATGCCTTTTGAGCCTACAGACTAATAATTCAATACCAAACATTGAACCCGGCTGTAATACTATCGGTTTTCGTAATATGATCGGACAAAGAGAGGACGTTATCATACCTACGGGATCGTATGAGTTTGATAATTTAGAGAGTGTTATACAGAAAAATATGCCCGAATATATCGAGTGGTTTGAATTAAAAGCAAACAATACCACATTAAAGTGTATACTCTCGTGTAGTCATGACGTTGACTTATCAGTTGAAAATAGTATAGCGAAATTATTGGGTTTTAGAAATGAATTATACACTACTGGTAATAATTACGAATCTGAAAGTACAGTCAAGATAATGAAAATCAATAGTATAAAAGTCATGTGTAACTTGATTACTGGCTCATTTTGCGACGGAGCACCGAGTCAGATCATACACGAGCTCTATCCAACTGTTCCGCCAGGCTATAAAATCGTCGAGGTACCTAGACATCCTGTTTTTTATGCTCTCAACACGACTTTGATATCTAGAGTGTATATCGCGCTAAAAGATCAGAACGATTGTCTAATAAATCTGCGCGGTGAACCAATTACGATTCGATTACAAATAACGTGTGGAAATGGCACTAAAGTTTAATATAAAAAGATCTACAATCAAAAAACCAGTCAGTTTACCGACTGCTGTTAAGAAGTCAACATCTAAACCGAAAAAAGGCGAAATCAAGCTCACGAAAAATAATTTAAATTTTCTACGTTCGTTGCAAGTATAAAAAAAATAATTATGGACGACTCGTATTTAGACGTTGGGGTCGATTATGTCGACGAGTGTAAAATAACGCAAAAGCATTATCATTCGTTCACTCCGTACTCGAACCTGTCTTTATCGAATAACGATGAAATTAAGATAAGTGTTTTAAATATGGATGCGTACACTTTACCGTGTGAAAGCTATATTTACATAGAGGGGAGAGTAAATAAACCTGTCGATGCTGTTGGAGAAGTACGTTTTTCAAATAATGGATTGGCGTTTTTATTCTCCGAAATGCGATATGAAATAAATGGAGTAGTAATACAGAAATTAAAAACACCTGGAGTCTCATCTTGCTTAAAAGCATACTGTTCGTATACTCCAAACGATTTGAATACGTTAGAGAGCGCTGCTTGGGACTCGGCTATGGATGGCGAAGATAATAAAAACTTTATGAGTAGCAATGTATTTACCGGGTGTATCCCTCTAAAACATTTATTCGGATTTTGTGAAGACTATAAAAAAATATTACTTAATTGTAATCAACAATTGATTTTAAATCGGGCGTCTACCGATCTGGACGCGATACACGTTGTTGGCGAGGGTGCAAGCGGAGCCGTTGAAAACAATAAAAAAATTACAATTGAACTTACTAAGGTAGCATGGAAAATGCCTATTATCAAAGTTAGTGATAAAGAAAAATTAAAGTTGATAAAAGTGATAGATTCTTGTAAAACACTATCGTGTGCATTCCGCACGTGGGATCTTAACGAGTATCCCATTCTTCCTAGGAATACTTCACATTCGTGGACGGTAAAGTCCAGCAACTTGTTAGAAAAACCTAGGTTTGTGTTGTTTGGATTACAAACAGATCGTAAAAGAAATATTGAGACAGACGCCGGGCGCTTTGATCACTGCCAGTTAAAAAATCTTAAAGTTCACTTAAATTCTGAAGTGTATCCATATGAAGACTTTCGTGCTGATTTTAAAAATAATACAACTAGTATACTGTATAAGGCCTATACAGACTTTCAAAAATCGTATTATGAGAAAGAGTACAGCGAACCATTATTATCAAAACATATTTTTCAAAACTATTCACCAATCATCGTCGTCGATTTATCGTGTCAAAACGACAATGTGAAGTCGTCAACCGTAGACCTGCGTATTGAATTTGAGACGGATACAATTATTCCAGCAAAAACTACAGCGTACTGCTTAATATTACATGACCAGATTATAACTTATAGCCCGTTTAGTGGAGAAGTTAGAAAATTGTAAAAATGTTTATATATTTTTTTTTTTTGTAAAATATTGTGACCTTATGCTATATATATATATTATAATCTTTTTATTATTAAATAAAAAAAAACTTGTTTTTAAATATCACGCTTGTTTTTATTTTAGACAAAAAACAATTAAATTAGTATAAAAATAATTAATTATATTGTGGTCCAAATGGTCCATCGTTTTCCGAAAAGCCTTCCTGGTTGTTCTCGAGGTAGCTCTCTTGTGCTGGCGGGGACAAGGGCGAGACTAATGATAGATTTTCCTGAAAATATTTAAAATTAAAATATGTTTTGTGAATATAATTTATAACTGTTTATTACCTGTTCATATAAACTGCTGAACGATGGTGGTGGAGAAAAAGTCATAGAACGCTCGCTATTGTATCCCTGTAAAAATTCAGTTTATTAACATAACATAATAATATAAGTTATTAAAAAAAATATTCATACCTCATCTTTTTTCACTTTGTTAATCCATTTTTGTACGATATAATCAGTTGCGTATAATTTTACTTGATTTGTGTAAATGTAATCGCTCTGACTAATACCATATTGCATTGCCTCGTCAATAACATGACTTTGGATAAAGCTATTATCAATTTTTCTCACATGGTTTCTCATTATTTCGAGTGTAGAGTTTTGTAGCGGTACGTTTATTTTTAAGAATGTAACGATTAACTCGATATGATGTAGTACGATTGGTTTAACTATTTCGGATTTTCTTTTAATAATTTCAAAAATAGCACATTCTAAATCTTGTAAGACCAGTAGATCTGTACGATTTAACAAAACGCGACATCCGTCTTGAGTTTTCGATTCTAAAACAAGTGTGTTCTCCGATTTATATACCATACTAGACATTGTAATTGACTCTGTCTCCAAAAATAAAATTCGTTTGTGTTCGTGTGGACGGTCAAGTACGAACGATAGAATGTTTCCCATAAATCTGAATATGCGTTTCAGAAAATCGATGGGAATATTTACATGCCGCGAAGCTGTTATAATATGAACCGCTGCTTTGAATTCATCGGTAGGGTCTAGTCCAATGTTTAAAAACTTCCGAGCCGTGAAATCAATAGTCAAGTTACTGCAGTCGATCAGATTAGCTGGCGGCGATGGTGGTGTATATTTGTAAGTTTTCTTGTATATATTTTCCATATTTTCAATTGAACCAGCCATATTTATTTTACGCACTGAGAAATAAATATGATTTTAACACTGAATATGAGACAAGCACACGCGAAACACTTGGAACGATTATATAGAGTGACTGAATTTATGTTGTGTAGTTGTGTTCATAAACGAGCAAATTAAATATTAATTGGTGGGGGAGACATCGAAAAGTCCCTACAGGTTAATCGGGAGGGGGTAAATGGTATAGTGGCGGGGGAATTTATACCTCACGCATAGACGTCAGTTAAATGAGATAGAATATACCTTCTCAAACAGATGCGAGTAGGCGGCCCAGTGGTACGGTTGTCGCTTATCATGCAAGTTAACCGGGTTCGAATCACGGTCCGGCGGATAAATTTTTAAATTATTTTCCACGCGCGGCGGCAATGTCGAGCGGTGGTCATAGGTGGTGGGGTGGCGGGGGTACATCGTTAACGTGTGTGATATATGGTGGGTTCAGCAGCCGTCAATGTATAGGGATGAGCAGCAGTCGGTGTATTGGGATGAGCAGTCGGTGTATTGGGATGAGCAGACAGGTATAGTGGGATGAGCAGACGGTGTATTGGGATGAGCAGACGGGTATAGTGGGATGAGCAGACAGGTATAGTGGGATGAGCAGACGGGTATAGTGGGATGAGCAGACGGTGTAGTGGGATGAGCAGACGGGTATAGGAAATTGCCAGCAGGATGAGGCGCCAGAACTGTCTTTTTTAACCTACTAACAACTATTAAAAAAATTGTGATCGTTCAAATCCTTTTGGATATAACTCGCAACAGTAAGTGGCTATAAGTGGTAGGCAATATGCGACAATCTGATTTGATGCATTCTTGATTAACCAATATACAAATAAAATATTATTAATACTAATACGTCAATAATAATAATAATAACAATTTAACTAACGATTAACCAATGGCAACCAATAATTATTATTATTATAGCTTTAAAAGCTATAGTAATACCATTTATAAACAAAAATTTCCATCTTAAATCTCAAAATCCCCGTTTGAGCACCCGAGTTGAACTTATGGGTATGAGAAATAGTTTAATTCAATCTCTCAGACCTACTGAGTATACACACACAATTTCATGAAAATCGGTCATGCCGTTTCGGAGGAGGTTGGCGACATAGTACATATTATATTATTTAAATTATTAGGAATTTAACACATATTAATTTCTCTAAAATATCATTGTTATATTATATCATAGGTACAATAAATGCATATTATTCAGTATTAGTTCAGACTTCAGACATTTAGTTACACATGGAGTTATGGAAATTGGATTCATTAATTTTTGGATATTGAAAATAGCTTTATGATAAACATTAGTAAAACTCTAATAAATGTATTTTCTATCTAATAATTGTATTTTGTATTAAATTTAATTAAATAAGATTTTATATTTAACTTATGTTTAATACAACAAATAACTAAATTATTCACTAGTACAATATGAATACCCATGCCAATACAAAATTGTTCAAAGAACTTTGCATGTCAATTTTCGTAAAACAAAATAAATAATAATAATAAACTTTATATACCTAACTCAATATAATTCCAATTTAATTTTAAATATATAGTATAGTACAGACATACAGTGTAAAATGTACATAAATATAATATTTAATGTATAGATTTACAATAAATAGTTTAAATTTAAATATAATAATAATAATGACACTGTTTAACACTTAAACTATAAACACAAATTAGTACAAACTTATCATTCCAAGCCCTACCACCACCACAATGCAATCCTACAAACAGCTTATGGCCATAGAAGCCGGGCTTCTGATATTTTGTTACAGTAATATAGTTGAAAAATGTTAAAAATACATTGACACAATTTTTTGCTATAAACATTTAAAGTTGGATTTTTGACAACATTTAACAAATTTAAAAATGTTTTTGTAGTTAAAATTTCATAAAATGTTCAACTTTTTTAGCGAATGATTAAAAATTTAAAACAAGGTTCCAAGTAAGTAGGCTATTCTGTAACTAAAAAATCTCAAAAATATAAATACACATTTTTTTTTTACAGTTATTTTATGTTCAAATTTGTATGAAATAATAATAAATAATATAATATTAAATAATCTAGAATAACTATTTTAGTTATTTTGTTGAAATTTTATAATACTAATTCAACCTTCCAGCTACCGTATTAATAATAGGTAAATAATATAACAGTATGAATATTAAATATATAATACAAAATATCCACACTGACAATATGTCTTCGGCCTTCGCTCGGAATCATTTTTGACTTTTTCATATACAATGATATATCATTGAATTAAAATGTACCTAATACCATATCCTTATAGTTTATACCAGTGGCATACGCAGGGGGGGCTAACAGGCTGCAGCCCCCCCCCCATCGACCGTATTATTATTACTTTAAAAAAATAAAATATTTATCAAGTTTCAATGGTCAACTATAGTAAGCAAGACGCCAATTTCATATACATCTTACCAGAATGAATTCATTTTGAAAAAACATTGTATTTCCATACCAATTTTCCTAAAATTATGTGTAATTTTTCAGTAAAAGTATGAACTACTTGTATGAAACACCTTTTATTAAATTTTCAACAATAAAAACAACTTAAATTTTTATGAGCGTTTGATGTTCATATTTTTACTTTTACAACATTAGATATTCACTCGATTTTGTTATTTTGTTGTAATTCAAAAACAAATAACTGTAGATATGTTACAGTTAAAACCCGAAATCCGTCGAAACTAGTTTTAACTAGTCAAAACTAGTTTGCACAAATCCCTTTAGTCATTTCTGGTCTTAACTAGTTAAAACTAGAATTCACCGCAGGTTCAAATAAGTCAGTAAAAACTAGTTTTAACTAAAATGCATGACAATAATATTATTATATTGTATTTAAACTCGTACTACATAAAACTCACGCGACCACAGACGATCTATAAATATTATATTATTAAATAGTCACAACCTGATGCACAGTTTAAGTTTATACTTAATTATCAGGATCATCTGACAAAATTCGTTCTGCTCCGCCCCTTGCAGACCAAGCGTGTTTTAACATTTGGTGCTCCGGTTCTTCTTCATTCAGACAATGGGAGAGAATTTGTTAACAATGTGATTAGAGCTGACAGGGCTATGGCCAGAGTTAAAAATCGTGCACGGAAAACCTAGGCATTCACAAAGCCAAGGCTCCGTAGAGCGCAATAAAATTAGTAAATAGTTACTAATCAGTAAAAATTGTTTCAGATCTGAATTTATAACATGCGAAGAAAAATTCATCACAGAGAATCAAGTTCCAAACAATCATATTTCCCTCCGTGCAGCCACAACAAAAGCATCGACGGGGTCGGGGCAAGGCTTTGTAAGATGCACATGTAAAACGTCCTGCGGAACAAATCGCTGTTTATGTAGAAAAAATAAAATACTAGCAATTCTAAATGCCACAATAGTTTGTCCTGTCAAAATAAATAATATAATAAATTCCTATAATAATTATTCTAATGTGTACTTAATACTTATATTTATACTATCTACTTTTCCCTAGTTAAAACTAGTTTAACCTATCAATATAAAAATCAAGAATTTTAACTAGATAATAGTAAATTCTAGTTTTAACCAGTTAAAACCAGAAATGACTAAAGGGATTTGTGGAAACTAGTTTTTACTAGTCAAAACTAGTTTCGACGGATTTCGGGTTTTACCTGTAACAGATACATGAAAATTTGACTGAATATTTAATTCGCATTTTCTATACACCATACTATTTTGAAAATATTTTGACTTGTTTTGAGCTGTTTACAGAAAATTTCAATTTTTTTTTCTATAAATATCAATGAAATTTGATTGTTGGGCCAAAAAGAGTGAAAATTTAATACAAAGCTCCTGATATAATTTTACTATAGAGGATAGAATAAGATTTTCCTCTGCCAGCTTTCACTTATGGCTTTTGTATTGTAGCATAATAATTATGGCGTATAATCGAATAACAATGTTATGTGTAATTATAATTTTATTAATAATGAAAAGTTTTTACTAAAAATAAAAAATAATTAAGTTTATACTATATACATTTCAAATATATTATGCGAAAACTGTTTAACAATACATTTTGTTTCCCGATCACAAAGTTGTTATGACTGAAGTTAACTAAAAATAATAATATACAAGGTGATTTGTTTATCATTGAACACTCATTATTTCAAAAAGTATTAATATTTAAGAAAATATTTTTTTACATAGTTTCAAGTTGTTAAAAACAATATTTTTATTAAAAAATTATTTTTTTAAATATTTTTTATCCTTTTAATTTTTTAAGTTTTTTACTTTTTTGAATGACAACATGTAATTTTAATTTGATATTCAAAAACAGAATATTTTTCTGAGTAGTTCGATACATAAAAATTGAATTTAGGGCAATTAGTTTATGAGTTATAAGTAT